AGGAAAATTCTTCCACTAGATATACCTCGTAAACCATTTGCAATCGGCCGTTTCTCTTGGGCACAACTTGATTGTCGATTTGATCACGTTCATCAAACAAATGAAATATATATCTCCCACATTTTCGTATTGGGATATATGAACTTGTCTGAAAATAATCGCAAATGATGCGAATCACAGTTCACCTCCTGGAGTCCCGACGTAAGACTTGAAAACCTGAAGCAAAGTATAGCTTCTGCGATAGCGCACACTCCAGTTTCTTCCAGGACTTCACGAGCAGCTGTATCGAAAACACTCTCATTGGGATCTGATGCTCCTCCAGGAAATTTCCAACCAAGGTAATGACTAGACTACTGAAGACTGAAGAGGTAACCCAATAAACAAGATCATACGACGCACCCACGCTTTTCTTTCATTAGAAGCACTCGCCCATCATTGTCTACAACAAGTCCACCGACTCCGATCATTGTGTGTGCATATCTAAATTGAGGTCAAATTGAAAGGACCCGCGAACTTTACTGTGTTAAAAGGAACAAATAGAGACAAAACCTTGGTAGAGTCGATGGCGTATCTGGAAGCCACTTTGTCATTACCAGATAATGGGGTTGCGTATGGTGAAACACAAAACCATTTTCCACTAATACTGGGATGAGAGAACTATCCTAAACTTTTCGTCTAAATATTTGCAAATGACAAATGTACTTCACGTCGCACCTCGATACTAACTCTGATCCACACTCCTTTTATTTCTCTACTTCTCCACAAATCCAAAGACACTGATATTATCTTATTGAAGAAATTTCTCTCCTTCTGGGTAGAATCAAGATCCGCCGTGTTCACGGTTATACCTCCATATATGTCACACATTTCTTTGAAGTGCATACCTGTATTATTAAGATGATGTTAAAGACAGAGATCAAGCAGCAAATAAAATTTGGAGTGAATTATAACTAGTCGGCAAAATGGCAGATACTCTGCTGGATGCATGATACATAAGGCTGAAAGTCTAAATGAATAAATGAAAGAACGAATGAATGAATGAATGATGAATGAATAAATGAATGAATGAATGGGCAGGAAGCAGACTGGTATTAGTATTTTCATCCAACTAAAGAGGCAAAAGACTCTTCGACTATTCATAGCAATATTGTTACGGTCATCTGATATTCAGCCAATGCTAAACGACTCGCAGGCTTATGTAGCTGACGCCACCGCCACCTCGAATTACGCACGCAACTTATGGCACTTCTTCTACCTCTCCCGCGTTCCTCTTCAGAAAAGCAAGACTTAAAGCACCGCAACTACTTAGAATCAGTGTACATAACGAATAGTACAATCGATGCAGGCCGGATTTGGCAACTGGATGTGTTCTAAAGGTGAACACTTGATTTGGCTCTTCGATAGATTCAAATCTACAATTTATCCTAAAAGCAAGTGCCTTAGGATTTTGCCTAAGCTCACTGCTTAAGATTGATTATTCGTGTATTGGTTTCTGTAAAGACGCAGTTCAGGCCCTTAACGTTTCTAAACCAAAGTCGTATTCATTATGAATCAGCAATTTCGCAAGCAACTTCTGTGTCGGTTCATATTGGTATCAGAAACCTTGATTAACATCATAGAAAAAACAGCCAATAAGACTCAACAGATTCTCTGTCTGCCAACTTGATTGTGAGGCATCAGGGCA